TTCAGAATAGGGACTCAAGAAGCAAACACAGAATAAAGGATGCTCCAGGAAGCTGGGGAAATTCTTGCAGGCTGTCTTTAGTCTAGGACTTACTCTTTTCTAGCCTGAAGTCTGAGAGGTTTATGAGACCCATCCTATCCCAGCAGCACAGAGAAAACAGTTTTGCCAAAGGCATTAAATATTTTCCTGCCAGAGGAAAGTTGAACTTCTAACCTCCAGCATTCTTTGGATTTTATGAAATACATTGAGAATAGAAATGACCAAAACAAAGGAATAGCAAACACTATTCTTAAAAAACTGAACTTTTAGAAAATATGGAAAAACTCTGGAGTTTGTATATCAGCTGTAACCAAATGAACTAGGGAAAGATGCGGGGACATGGTCTGGGGTAACAGCAGAGGTTGATCAGTAGGTGAGCAAGTGACCCTTGACAGGGAAAGATCTCAAGCCCAACACAAGAGCCACATCCCCCAGCCACCAGTGGGTTTTAATACAAGGAAAAATTTGGAGCCATTTACAAATAAGACAACACTAGCTGGCAGAAAATTTAGTCTGTCACCTTTTGAGGACTTCTCCCTGTTCCTAAAACTCTGCTCTATGCGCTAAAGATATAACAATAAGGACAGGAAGCTCACTGCCCTCAAGGAACTTACATTCTAGGGCCCAGCTAGGTAGGGGTAAGAAGTCTAAATGAACCAGATAATTTCAGAGAGAGTGCTAAGGAACACATAGGAGATGCTCAGTAACATTTGTCAAATGGATGGATGGATAAGTGAGACTTCGGATTCTCTCTTAATCCGACGGACTTCAGATTCCATCTTTGTACAATGAGGCATTCGAGCCACCTGTCTTCACTGAGAATGCCATTTAATACATCCATTCAAATTCATTTAATCATTCAGACAACATTTCTTAAGTATCTATTACATGCAGGCATTATGCTAGGCCCTAGGGATATGAAAACAAAACATATTCCAGAGGTCCAGTAACCCTTTCATTGAAGAATCCTCACCAGGTGTGGTGGCTTACGCCTGTAACCCCATCACTTTGGGAGGCCGAGGCGGGAGGATCACCTGAGGTCGGGAGTTTGAGACCAGTCTGACCAACATAGAGAAACCCTGTCTCTACTAAAAATACAAAATTAGCCAGGCATGGTGGTGCATGCCAGTTATCTCAGGTGCTCTGGAGGCTGAGGCAGAAAAATGCTTGAACTCGGCAGGCGGAGGTTAGATCGTGCCTTGGCACTCCAGTCTGGGCAACAAGAACAGAACTCTGACTCAGAAAAAAAAAATGAATCAGCTTCTGGTGACTCTATTTGTTCTATCTTCTGCCAATTTTGCCCACTTTCAGATTCAGCCTGAATTTGAAAGGCTCTGTGCAGATAGGCTTGCTGAGCCTGGATGGCCCAGCCTTCCAATCTAGGCTGAGTAAGATGTGACATTTTCACAAGGCAGGTGTCTCCATGCTGGAGTTTCCCATCACCCTTAGAATCTCATGCTGCACTAGTAATGACAGGAGGGGCTCATCATCAGGCAGTGTAGTGACCAATTCTTTCCCAATCATGAGCACACATACTGTACTGTTTAATCTGTGGCTGGGTGACCCAACAACAGAACATTCTGAAGTCTAAGTCTGACCTCTTTAAAGAGGAGTAGGAAATGTCATAAAGGAAGAGTCCTATTGGCTGCAATTTATACAGGGTAGGAAAGAATCCTGTCCCCGCCATATAGGGCCCCTTACTGCTGGCTTTCCCTGGGCTCACAACCACGCATAGACACACACACATAAGTAGAATACCCTTAGCCGTCCTATTATCAATACTAAAAAAAAAAAAAAAAGGCCAGTTCTGTAGTGTCTTTTCTTTTCTGAATTTCTTGATACCTTTGAGAAAAGCCCGATCTGTCTTGCCAAGATACAGCACTGTCTTCCCAGTGTCTGTTAATCCTCTTTATTTTATTATGTAAATGAAGAGAGCTTATTGAGCCGACAAAAACATTGAGATTGTGACTTCAAAATTGTGACCAGAGAAGGTTAACTTTATGAGTTGTTTAAAGAAATGAAAGCAGCCCAGGTGAGAAGCTGGAAAGGCTCAGGAAGAAACACAGGTGACAAGAAAGAAAAATAATCTATCCCCAGGCTGAGCAGGGAGCAAACAGAAAAAAGACAATACAGAATAAGAGCACATTATGTCTAACAGAAAATTGTTGTCAATCTTTCCTCTCCCCCCGCAAAATAAAGATGTTTTAATATGTAAGAATAAATGCATGTGTCAAATGGGTTTGTTTGCAAACACTCAATTATTATTGCACAGCAGGACCACACGGCTCTCTGACTCTCTCTCTTTTGAGCTGGGTGACAATGACAGGGAGAAGAGATTTAAAAACCACGTTTAAATTTTAGCAGAGAGGCCTTCTGGAGGAAAGTCAACCCACAAATCTAAGACATAAATAAACAAGCCACCATCCTAGACAATGTTCTTGAGAAAAAAATGACAGGACAAATCCGACTTAAGTTGATACGTTGAGGTTGGAAAAGCGGACCTGGATTCTGTTTGCTTCGATAAAGGATTATAACTGCTGTTATGTCTAACCTCAGGCCCTCTTTTCCTGGCACCCACACCCATGGATCCTTCCCAGAGATCAATGTGGCTACCTCTGTTATGACGTTGACCTCTTTGGCTCAGTGTTAGTTGTGGAGCCTAGGAATTCGCAAATTGGATTTTCTGGATATGCCTTGCTTTGATTTGTTACTATTCCTTTGCTTTAAGCAGTAGAATCTGTTTTTCTTTTTTTAATTATTATTATTTACATATATCATAGGCCACAAGTGAGAACAGTAATGTGACTAATACAAATTTTACATTCTATAATAATATTAGTATGAACTTTGTTAACTCCATGGGGTGATTTTAATTTTGTTTTGACTGCTAAGGAGAACGGATTATGCCTTAAACTCTTCTTCAAGATAAAAAAAAAATTATATTATGAACCCTAGATTCAGTACTCCAAACAGGAAAACCTTAGCTTTATTTTGCATACTCAGTGAAGTGCTATATTCCTGGACCCATAAGGGGAGAGAAGGGGGTGGCAAAGAGGAGGAAGGGTCTTGAATGCAGCTATTCCTCTAGATCAGCGTCTCTATACCAGTTCTTAAGTAACAGAACAAGCTCAGTTGTAAACGGTTTGTTCTGAAAACTACAACTGAATATTTTCATAAGGAGTGAAGCCTGGGAACAATCAAATAGACCAGAATGGTGAGAACTATTTTCTCTTCAGTGGTTAGTACAGTGCCTGGCATAGAAAAAGTGTCGTATAAATAATATTTTTATTTTTTTTTATTTTTTTATTTTATTTTTATTTTTTGAGACGGAGTTTCACTCATGTTACCCAGGCTGGAGTGCAATGGCGCGATCTCGGCTCACCACAACCTCCGCCTCCTGGGTTCAGGCAATTCTCCTGCCTCAGCCTCCTGAGTAGCTGGGATTACAGGTACACACCACCATGCCCAGCTAATTTTTTGTATTTTTAGTAGAGACGGGATTTCACCATGTTGACCAGGATGGTCTCGATCTCTTGACCTCGTGATCCACCCGCCTCGGCCTCCCAAAGTGCTGGGATTACAGGCTTGAGCCACCGCGCCCGGCATAAATAATATTTTTAATGAGTGAATGTGCTATTATCTTCCATTAGTATAATTATCAAGCATCTAAGAAAACACCAAAAATTGATTGAGATCAATCACCACTATATTCGAGGTTTTCAACTTACCCTACTAACAATACTTTGTCAGCATTCCAGGAGGATGGCAGAATGAACTGACTTACCCTTCCTATGGCCTGGCCTCTTTATCTTTCAAAGCTGAAAGATGGCAGGGCACGGTGGCTCACACCTGTAATCCCAGCACTTTGGGAGGCTGAGGTGGGAGGATCACCTGTGGTCAGGAGTTCCAGACCAGCCTGACCACCATAGTGAAACCCTATCTCTACTAAAAATACAAAAAATTAGGTGGGTGTGGTGGCAGATGCCTGTAGTTGCAGCTACTCAGGAGGCTGAGGCAGGAGAATCGCTTGAACTTGGGAGACAGGTTGCAGTGAGCCGAGATCACGCCACTATACTCCAGCCTGGGCGACAAGAGAGAAACTCCATCTCAAAAAAAGAAAAAAAAAGCTGAAGGATCCCTCACCTGTGAGACCAATGGGAGTAGAGGAGGGCTGTCTTGTACTAGTCTAGTCATCCTTTTTTGTTCCACTGCTTGTCACTTCATCTCCACTTTCTGCAGAAGGGCAGTGACATATCTCAAGGCCAGAGAAACAAAGGTCTGGGAAATTTACAAACCACACATTCATCCCTTGAATCGTATCATGTCTAAGACAAAGTATGGGTCAAAGAGAAAGGGTAATCTTCTGTTGATGTTGGCTTTGCTGTGTTTTGTTTTATTTCATTTTATTTAGAATACCTTGTTTAGAATATGAGTGCTATATTTGTATCCCACCAAGTAAATACCTTCTGTACCTCAAAAGATTTTTTTATTTGATAGAAGTAACAAAAGGGACAAAATCGCTAATATGTTCACTCGTGAGATTCTAACCCTGCTCTACCCTTTGCTTCTTTGCAGTTATAAAATGTTTTGCCCCAGAGCCACCAAGACCATGAGCACACTTTACCCTCCACAGCCACTTTGAGGCCAAACATATATTTTAAAAAGAAAGAAAGAAAATTTCCAAAGTGTTAATGATTAGTCTAGATTTCTGAGGAGTATTCCAGAAAGACAGATGTTATATGGCACAGCAGTTTGACTAGAAAACACCAACCACAAAATCCTCCTCTCTGTTTACCACAAGTTCTCAAAGTACCCAGGTGGGGCCCACCCAGACTAATAGAATCTGAATTGCTGAAAGTGAAACTCAGGTTTGCCCGTTTTAAAAACTCCCCAGGAGATTCTAATGGGAAATTAAGGTTGAAAACCACTCTAGCCTTTCTCCTCCCCCACATCTCTTTTCTTGTGCAAAACAATTTAGGTCTCTCCTTGCTCCTCCTCCTCTTTACCTCACTCAGCAAAACAAGGTTTCTCATTAAGGTGCATCCTCCTTAGAAGGTTATAGGTAAGTAAAAAAATTTCGCCATCACAAATAATTTTCTTCTGGTAATGTGTGGAATTAGTATCTTTTAGAACAAGCCAGGTATATGTCTCCTTATGGGAGCCAGGAGGCCGAACTTGCACGTTCAGCAAGGAACTTGGTATGGCATTTAACCAATAATGTAGCTGCCCAACGAGTTCGCCTTGCCCGCTGCCGAGACAGAGCCGATTTATCAAGACAGAGAAATTGCAATAAAGAGTTTAATTCATGCAGAGCCGGCTGTATGGGAGACTGGAGTTTTATTAGTACTTAAATCAGTCTCCCTGAAAACTTGAGAATCAGGGTTTTTGAGGATAATTTGGTGGGTAGAGGATTGGAGAGTGGGGAGCTACTGATTGGTCAGGTCAGGGATGAAATCATAGGGAGTCGAAACTGTTCTCTTGGGCTGAGTCAGTTCCTGGGTGGAGGCCACAAGACAGGATGAGCCAGTTTATCCGTCTGGGTGGTGCCAGCTGATCTATCAAGTGTAGGGTCTGCAAAGTATGTCAAGCACTGATCTTAGGTTTTACAATAGTGATGCTCTCCCCAGGAACAATTTGAGAGGTTCAGAATCTTGCAGCTTCCAGCTGCATGACTCCTAAACCATAATTGCTATAGCTGATTTGCTAGTTCCAAAAAAGCAGTCTAGTCCCCAGGCAGGAAGGGGGTTTGTTTTGCAAAAGGGCTGTTATTGTCTTGGTTTCAAAGCTAAACTGTAAACTAAATTTCTCCCAAAGTTAGTTGGGGCCACGCCCAGGAATGAACAAAGTCAGCTTGGAGGTTAGAAGCAAAATGGAGTCGGTTAGGTTAGTCATAATTTTCTCATTTATAATTTTTGCAAAGGCAGTTTAGTAACATCCCTGGACTGGGACTTGAAAGACACTCAGCCCGGCGCAGCGGCTCATGCCTGTAATCCTGGCACTTTGGGAGGCTAAGGTGGGAGGATCACAAGGTCAAGCGTTCAAGACCAGCCTGGCCAATATGGTGAAACCCCACCTTTGCTAAGAATACAAAAATTAGCCTGGCGTGGTGGTGCATGCCTGTAATTCCAGCTACTTGGAAGGCTAAGGCAGGAGAATTACTTGAACCGGGAGTCAGAGGTTACAGTGAGCCAAGATCATGCCACTGTTCTCCAGCCTGGGCAACAGAGCAAGACTCTGTCTCAAAACAAAAACAAACAAACAAAAAAAAAACAATAAAGAAAAGAAAGACACACTCATTGATTTTCAGGCAGAAGCATTGGCACTGGAATCATTCCGATAGGTGGCTACATGTCTTCTTTGCAAATATTCAAGAAATGAGATTCCATATTTTTTTCAGCAAACTCTGACAGTGTTAAACAAAAATAACCATAAAAGTGGTGATTAGCTGAACTGAGGGGATGCTTTTAGCCATCAGATCACATTTCTTCTTTGTATTTTACTTCTTTTTGTTACCTTTTTACTGAATTAGTTACTGTATTTCTACGCTTAGATAAGGCAATGAGCTATAGTAGAAAGGACATGGGGTCTGGGGTAGGTCAAAGATACTTTTAAGATTTCAAGAAACAGAATTTACTCAAGTTAGCTCAGTGCTCTTAGCTCTGGTCTGAGTTTCTGGTGATTTCCAACCGGTGGGCCTGGGAGAGGTCCAGGCATCATCTGCAGCTTTATTTTTTTTATTTTAACTTTTTAATTTTTTTTGAGACAGGGTCTCCCTCTGTGCCTCAGGCAGGAGTACAGTGGTGTCATCTTGGCTCACTGCAGTTCAAGCAATCATCCCGCCTAAGCCTCCCAAGTAACTGGATATAGAGGCACACACCACCACACCCAGCTACTTTTTGTATTTTTTGTAGAGACAGGATTTGGCCATATTGCCCAGCTGGTCTCTGACTGTTGAGATCAAGCGATCCACCGGCCTCGGCCTCCCAGAGTGCTGGGATTATAGACGTGAGCCACTACACCTGGCCTATCTGTAGCTTTAAATGTTGCACAAACACCAGTCCTCAGTGACTCCTGATTTCTTCTCTCTGCATGTGCTTCATTCCTGCCACAGGGAGCTGATTCCTTGGCTACTATACCATCATGCCTGTGGCTCTGGTTTGCCAGGGTACCAATTCTGGCCCCCAGTCTGCAGAACATTCCAGAACTGCCTCTCAGTTCAAATTTCAGAGCAAATATGCTTGCTCACAGCACAGCAAATACATGGGTTCTTCTCCAATCTTTGTTCAAATATTGGCCCACCCCTATTTAGAATATATGACTTTGCTGGGAGCAGTGGCTCACACCTGTAATCCCAGCACTTTGGGAGACCAAGACGGGAGGATCACAAGGTCAGGAGTTTGAGACCAGCCTGGCCAACATGTTGAAACCCTATCTCTACTAAGAATACAAAAATTAGCCAGGTGTGGTTCGTGTATGCCTGTAATCCCAGCTACTCCCTAAACTGAGGCAGGAGAATCACTTAAACCTGGGAGGCAGAGGTTGCAGTGAGCCAACATTCTGCCACAGCACTCCAGGCTGGGCGACAAAGCAAGACTCCATCTTGGAAAAAAAAAAAAAAACATAAATATATATGAGACTTTGACCGTGATACCTGGAACTCTGGGTTTTTCTTGTGTGAAACAGAAATACAAATTTCTACTTCATTGGGCTAGTGTAAGGAATATATATATGGCAACTATCACAATGCCTGGCACCTACCAGTCAGTTTCCATAGCCTTTCAAAGAAAGTGGCAAGGCTAAGAGTCCTGTGTGCTGTTCCTCTCTTGCACTGACACCCCCATCTCTGAAGAGTCTTTCCACAGACATCCTCATTGTGGTCACATGAGGCTTGTTGCTTTTCCTTTTCCTCATATTTGCCAATAGGCACTTTCACAACTCTTTAGTACAGAGATAGGAAGGAAAGCTGCTGCAACTCAAAGTGGTTTACTTTCGTTAGTCTCTGGTTGAGAAGAGAATAAGACTAAAGACCGAAATGAAATTTTTGCTTCTGGCTTCTGGGCTTAATTCATCTGTGCTGTCACTCTCGTGGCCCTGAGAAATAAGGGCCACTCTAAGTAGGCACATGGTAACCACCTACTGACCTGCTTTGTTAAAATGTGTTCTGTATTTTCATTTTTACTTGTTTGAAATTCTGTGAGTCTTCTGAAAGCAGACAAAGAGTAAACATGGGTGGTGGGTCTTATTTCTGCCCCTCTGTCTCCTGACATATTTCCTGTATCTTTGTTGGGTAGAATTAGCGTGTTTCCTTTGTTTGTAATAGTTTCTTAAACCTTCAGTTCTACTCAGCCCTATTTTAAGTTACTTTGTCTTGTTGTTTTTTTGGTTTGGGTCAGTGGAGAGACTCTACAGCTTGTCAGGATGTGCCTCTTTAAAATGAAAACTGGAGAGAAGAATTCTGACAAGTGGAGTTTTTTCTTTGATTATCCTTCTCATGTGAAGTCCTCTCTTTGTCTCACCAGGACAGGTGGTGAAGAAGCTTTTTAGATCTTTTTTCTTCTAGGAAACCTTGCACATCTGGAGCACAGCCCTCCTTTCTTACTTTTTGCTATGTTGTTCAAAGCTTTTTAAGAAAAAAATAAACAGCAAAGAGAAAAATTGATTTTTCATATAAAGATGGCTTTTTTTGGATGCCCCCAACTGCAGAGACAGTTTATTTAAAGGGCAGCTGGTCACCTTCTTTTGAGGTCAGACAGCTGATTCTTAATCATATTGACAATTTCTGGCTGGGGAAAAGCATCTAAAAAACATATTATAAAACATAAAAGTGGAGGCAGCTCTTTACCTTGCCACTTCTCACTCCAATCTCTACAGGAGCTCCTCCAAACAAACCTCATGTTCCAAGAGTGGCAGGCCCACTTCTTCCATCTCATTCTCCTTTAAATGGCCTCTCTCACAGCCTCACCTCTGTAGGTCTTTGGAAACTTATGCTTTGGAGATGAGAAAAAATTTAATGTTTCAATGACAACTTCAAATGGCATTTTAGCCCCTACAGAAATGAATAAATAATCATATTCACTTTATAACTGGGAGCTGAAAAGGATTATAGACCACAAAAACTTTGGGTTTCTCATTTGGAAGCCTCATGGAAGTCCTGATTGATGCTTTAGGAAGGCTTTTTTTTTTTTTTTTTTTTGAGATGGAGTTTCACTCTTGTCACCCAAGCTGGAATACAATGGTATGATCTCGGCTCACTGCAACCCCCACCTCCTGGGTTCAAGCAATTCTCTTGCCTCAGCCTCCCGAGTAGGTGGGATTACAGGCACCCACCACCATACCCAGCTAATTTTTGTATTTTTAGTAGAGATGGGTTTTATCATGTTGGCCAGGCTAGTCTTGAACTACGGACCTCAGGTGATCCGCCTACCTTGTCTTCCCAAAGTGTTGGGATTACAGGCATGAGCCACTGTGCCCGGTCAGGAAGGCATTTCATATAGACATGCCCTGCCCTTGCCCATGACCCTGAAAGGGCATAGGGCTCAATTTCCACTAGTCAGAAGGCCCTAAGGTGAGGGCTTTCTGAGACAAGAAAAAGTCATTTATGGAACCAGTAATGTTTAAGTAATAATAATAAGGGCTTATTTGATTGAATGTTTACTCTACCAGGTGCTGTATTATGTGCTTTTGTAAGTATTGTCTCATTTAATCATCCCACCAATCTTACGATTTTTCTACCTGTGATTTCTTCATTGGCAGATAAGAAAACAGAAATAAATGCAGTATATGAAAAGCAAATATGTATATGCATGATTTGTAGTGGCCAAACATTGTTAACCTGTTAACAGAGGAATACTTAAATACATTTTTTAGTTTAAAAAAAAAAACAAAAAAAGTAATTTACAAGGCTGGGCACTGTAGTTTACCCCTATAATCCCAGCACTTTGAGAGGCTGAGGCAGGTGGGACAGGAGCTCTACAACAGCCTGGCCAACATGGTAAAACCCCGTCTGTACTAAAAAAATACAAAAAAATTAGCCAGGCATTGTGGCATGCACCTGTAATCTCAGCTTCTCTGGAGGCTGAGGCAGGAGAATCACTTGAACCTAGGAGATAGAGGTTTCAGTGAGCAGAGGTTGCACCACTACACTCCAGCCTGGATAACAGAGCAAGACTCCAGCTCCACCCGCAAAAAAAAGAAGAAAAAAAAGAAATGTGGGCAGGGTGCGGTCGCTCATGCCTGTAATCCCAACACTGGGAGGCCGAGGTGGGTGGATCACCTGAGGTCAGGAGTTCGAGACCAGCCTGACCAACATGGTGAAACCCCATCTCTACTAAAAATACAAAATTAGGTGGGCATGGTGGCGCATGCCTGTAATCCCAACTACTTGACAGGCTTAGTTGGGAGAATTGCTTGAACCTAGGAGGCAGAGGTTGCAGTGAGCCAAGACTGTGCCCTTGCATTCTAGCCTAGGCAACAAGGTTGAAACTCCATCTCAAAAAAAAAAAAAAAAAGCAATTTACAGTATAATGTTAATTAAAAAAAAAAAAAACTTTCTTAGCTAGAAGGAAAGAAGAGTAAGGATCAAAAGAAAACGGAGTAAGGATCAAAATTAAAATGTTAAATTTAATCACCTCAGGTGATTAAAATTTAACACAAAGTAAGAACTAAGAAAACCTACAGCTTCTCAAATAAAACCCCTGACCCATTTAGACTATTTTCTTTGTCCTGCTTTAAGTGTATGTTTACTGGACTGTCAAGCATAGCATCCTCTTGGGATATTGATAGACTATCTAGTGCAGTGACTAGGTAGGGTAACAATATAATCTATCATCCAAATCAGAACACATTTTTTTTTTTTTTTTTTTGAGATGGAGTCTCGCTCTGTCGCCAGGCTGGAGTGCAGTGGAGTGATCTCAGCTCACTGCAACCTCTGCCTCCCAGGTTCAAGCAACTCTCCTGCCTCAGCCTCCGGAATAGCGGGATTACAGGCACCTGCCAGCATGCCCAGCTAATTTTTATATTTTTACTGGAGATGGGGGTTTTACCATGTTGGCCAGGATGGTCTTGATCTTTTGACCTCACGATCTGCCCGCCTTGGCCTTCCAAAGTGCTGGGATTACAGGCATGAGCGACCGCAGCCAGCGAGAACACTTCTAAGAATGAATGGGGTGCTATTGTTAATTGCCCCAGGCAACAGGCATAAACCAATAGCGTCCTGAGCAGACCAGGACATGTGGTTGCCTATTAACAGGAGACCCTACAGAGAGTAAGCTCCACACTATCCCAAATACAGCTGTGACTCAGATCCAGGTTTGGCCCTCCCTTGGCTCCAGGGCTCTTTCCTGATCTAATATCCTGTGACTTCATCTGTGCTTTCAAGTGTCATGTCTTTTTCCTGCTTATCCTCTCACTGACTTCAGGTACCTCTGCCTCAACAGACTCCCTGAGGTGTCTCCACTCATGTCTCCAAGCAAAAGAGATCGTCCTCCGCTGAGAATAATAGAACATACAGACACTGTCTCACTCTCATCCTCAATCAACTGCTGCAGCAGGGCAGAACAAAACAGATACATGGAAACTCCATGTGGAGAAGCAGCCTTGATCACCATCTACTCAGGCCTGCTCAAGGAGACTGGGCAGTCTAAGATCCAGTGGACCGAAGGAAAGACAAAAAGAGGTAAAGGAAATCCAGAAAGTAAAATGTCAAACTATATTCTACTCACATTGTCTCAGTCATTTGTTAGGAAGAAAGTACAAAGGCCGGGTGCAGTGGCTCAAGCCTGTAATCCCAGCACTTTGGGAGGCCGAGGCGGGTGGATCACGAGGTCAAGAGATCGAGACCATCCTGGTCAACAAGGTGAAACCCCGTCTCTACTAAAAATACAAAAAATTAGCTGGGCATGGTGGTGTGTGCCTGTAATCCCAGCTACTCAGGAGGCTGAGGCAGGAGAATTGCCTGAACCCAGGAGGCGGAGGTTGCGGTGAGCCGAGATTGCGCCACTGCACTCCAGCCTGGGCAACAGAGCAAGACTCCATCTCAAAAAAAAAAGAAAGTACAGACCCCTGACCCCAAAATAAAGCAGATCCTTGTTTTGTCCTCTTCAAAATGAAATGAACTGCAAGCTAGGCGCAGTGGCTCCTGCCTGTAATCCCAGCACTTTGGGAGGCTGAGGCGGGCAGATCACTTGAGGTCAGGAGTTGGAGACCAGCCTGGCCAACATGGTGAAACCCTGTCTCCTAAGAATACAAAAGTTGCCAGGTGTGGTGGCACATATCTGTAATCCCAGGTACTCAGGGGGCTGAGGCAGGAGAATCACTTCAACCCGGGAGGCAAAGGTTGCAATGAGCCAAGATTGCGCCACTGCACTCCATCCTGGGTGACAGAGTGAGACTCTGTCTTTAAAAAAAAAAAAAGAATGAAATGGACTGCAGGTGGGAGATTCTTCTTCTCCTGTCCTTGCTCACCCACTGCCACCCCATATCACGTTATTCACCAGAAGCCTTTTATGCCACATAAAGTGTAGTCCAGGAGAGGCCAGACCCATCAATTCATGGACATACATTTGTATCTGTTTTATGGAGTTCAAAAGAATCCTATTTTCATGGAGTAGAAAATGTTTAAAAATATCGTACAGGCCAGGCACAGTGGCTTACACCTGTAATCCCAACATTTTAGGAGGCTGAGGCAGGTGGATCACCTGAGATCAGGAGTTTGAGACCAGCCTACCCCGCATGGCAAAACCCCGTCTCTCCAGGCATGGTGGCTCATACATGTAATCCCAGCACTTTGGAAGGCTGAGGCAAGTGGATCACGAGGTCAGGAGTTTGAGATCAGCCTGGCCAACATGGTGAAACCCCCATCTCTACTAAAAATATAAAAATTAGCCAGGCATGGTGGTGGGTACCTGTAATCCCAGCTACTCGGGAGGCTGAGGCAGGAGGACTGCTGAAACCCAGGAGGCAGAGGTTGCAGTGAGCCAAGATCGCACCACTGCACTCCAACCTGGTGACAGAGTAAGCCACTGTCTCAAAAAAAAAAAAAAAAACCCTGTCTACTAAAAATAAAAAAATTAGGCATAGTGCCTGTAATCCTAGCTACTCAGGAGGCTGAGGCAGGAGAATCACTTGAACCCAGGAGGGAAGATTGCAGTAAGCAGAGATCACATTACTGCACTCTGGCCTGAGTGACAAGGGCAAAACTCTCTCTGAAAAAAAAAAGCAAACAAAAAAAAACCCCATGATTTATTAAATTCATTTCTCTCACCTTTTCAATGGCCATTTATTCTGCTTTCAACTGTTGGGGTTAGTTGAAACAAATGCTCAATATTTTGTCCCAATGCATCTGGCAGAAACCCTCCCTTACTTGGCTAATTCTTACCCAGCCCAGTCATGCAAGTCAAATCATGTCCCATGGAAAAAAACCAGCTTCTTGTGGAAAGTGCCCAGCAGGACAGCTCCAAACAGGAGTTTGCCCTGAGCTGCCATCCTGGCTGAGGCCTCAAGGGTGTCAGAAAGACCCTGCAGACTTGGATACCCCACCTGCTGAGTCCCTTGCATGGGGGTTATACCCCCACTCTAAGGCCAAGAGTAGATGCAGTCTAAAGGGTCAAATTCAAGGAATATCTTTCCTCATCCTATGGAGGGGGATGGAGATGGCTACATGGATGGGCAGAGTGAATTGAGCTCTCTTCTCACATACAGACTCTTTTATGACTAATCATTAACACCAATGGCTGAGCTGTTTTCTGTTCCTTTAGCCATAACTGGATACAGAGGAAGATTCCCAAAGACATCTACAGGTTACAGTTGAAACTGGCATAGAAGAAAAAATGGTGTCTTCTTAATGTGCCAATACTTTAATTTGGATTATCCCACCAAATACCTAAGACAATTTATTGAAAGTTAACTGAACTAAGTTAGCTAAGAAACAATTTGTCATTTGTTTATTGATGTACAAGTTAATTAGAGTGGGAAGAAAAAAAAGTGACATTTGTGGAGCATTTACTGAGGGATAAGTCCTGAACGGGGCACTCAACATTCATATACTTTTTTTTTTTTTTTTTTTT